CAACCTTATATGACACCGTAAACGGATGACTGATAAGCAGTGATGACACCAGGTTTTCGCAAACAAGTCACATACAGCTGTCACATGCGGGATATATGCAGCAATATCGATCATGGATCAAGTATTTTCAGAAGGATTAGAGTTATATAGAACACACCCAAACCATCAAACCAGTGACATATTTATAGTTACAGAAGATCAATAGAACTGAGACTGTATAGTAACCTCATTTATATGAATTGCGTTTGTATAAAATAATACAGTTACTATTTCAGAGAAACCTTTATTGTGAACGAGGTAAGTTATGTTTTGTTTTAGCTAGTTTTTGTTTTCTCAGTACCTTCTTAATGGTAAATGTTAGCAAGTGTGTGCAGTTGATATGTCTTGTTTTGGGATTGTAGTAAAACATTCCACACATTCAAAGTCAAGCTGAATAATAATGTGAATATGTATTGATATTGAATTTGCTTTTAAGATGAAACACAGACAGGCTAACTAGGGACTGAAAATTTAGTTGGCCCAATTAAGCGCGGATCTAATCAAGTTTACCACACAGTTATATAATTTGTTTCATGGCACTTAATGCATGCCAGTGTACATGTAGTAATATGTCTAATAGATAGACTAAATTCGTTGCACTTACACTTTCCAATAGTATAGTACTTAATAGCGGTTAATTTCGAATTCCACGTCTGACAATGGCCAATTGCACTGTAACGATAGTTCGATTATTGAGTAGACTCCATGTAGATGGACACCTGAGGTAAGTCAAGAATTTATTCTATCTGTCCATACTTTCATCACAATTTCAGGTAGATTTAAACTTAAAGAATACATCAAACTCTCACATATAATAAATATCTATCTTGTGTACATTATGTAGTACTGTATACTACGAATAACCCCATAATTCTGCCTATCAAAACTGGACACTGCTAGTCATGCTTGATAACTGACAACCGAGGTATTTTTGTGCAAATATGTGTAAACACCTTGACCGTTTTTGTTACCTGATTTTTATGTAGGGAGAGGTATTCAAATGAGCGCTGTCTTGGTTACTGATGCCAATTTTCAGTTGAAATAAAAATATGTTAAACCGTAGCTGGACATCGTTTCAGAGCACTAAATGCATACCAATGTACATGTAGTAATATGATTATGTATAGATAGATTAAATTCGTTGTACTTAAACTAAATATTCAGACGTTGTATCTGTTGATACTCCACTCCTGATGCAATGCTGCTTCCAATTGGCGTAAATCTTGTAAAGAAAGGATCTCGTGCCTGTATGCGCCGCCCAAGAATATCCCAAACATGATCAAGGGGGTTTACCTCTGGGCCCATTGCTGGCAAGGGTAGAGTTGTTTTTGCACTGACTCTCATGTAATCCACGACTGCATGCGAACGATGAGGCCTGTCATTGTCATACATGTACTGAGGTCGTGTAGCAAGAGGGTGGTTGTCAAAACGAGGAACGACGACTGGTCGCAAAACGTCCCGGATGTATTAATCTCCTGTTAAGTTGCTCCTTATGGTGACCAAATCCAAAATGCAATCATGAGAGATACACCCACAAACCATTACTGAGCCCACGCCGTATGCAACAGTCGGTTTAATGTTCCTGGGGCTGTAGGCCGTGTTCCGGTGCCTCCAAACTATTGTTTTCCTTCTTTGAGTGGCATTTAGAAGTTGGAATGGTAACTAAGACAAAATTGTTATGGCTGAGCAACTTCTTTATTACAATTGGGCGACGTTTCGGTGTAGATTCTAACACCGTTATCAAGCAAATGACGTACAAACTAGTAGTAGTATTATGGATTTTACGGAGTATTGGCCGTGCGCGTGGGAGCTGAGCTTGGGTTGGTGGCTGGTTAAACGGTCATGTTTATTATAGTATGGATATGAGCGAATTTGTCGCGCGGACGTCGGAGAAGTCGGTCCGCGCTGATAATTTGGATCCCGATCCCGATGTACAAACTAGGTATGAGCATGATATATATACATAACAATAGATAGATGTTTATATAACAGATAAGGTTGATGTACACTGATTGATAGGTGGTTATGATAAACAAGTTTATACAAGAGATAGGGTTGATGCAAGTGATTGATGGGTATGGGATTAACACAAGGATTACTAAGAAGGAATGTATGGGAAGCCAGTGGGAGATAATAGTTCAGTGTTGTTTTGGCGAACTGATGAGATCATGGTAAGCTGGAGGGATGTAGTATCCTTGGTCTCTGTTTATGGCTGGCTGAATAGAATTCCATTTGATCATTCTACTTTGTATGTGAAGGTATCTACCCTGACTACATTCCAAATAGCTGGCATTCCTAAAGAATTCCACATTTCTTCATGAAAGGGTGACATTCCGTTTGATGACGACATTTCTACTATGTATCTGAAGGAATCTACCCTGACTACATACCAAATAGCTGGCATTCCTCAGCTAAGACATTGTAACAAAGGCCGCATTCTTCACATTCTTAAAAATCCATGCATAGTGACTCTGTTCTCGGTGTGACGTCATGCAGACAGACAGACAATAGTTTATTAACGTCTCACTCCTGTACATACATAAAACAGCTTTATACAACCTGACATAGATAAAATGTACAGAACCATTCAATAGAATTATGAGAGACGAATTATCACAGAATTTATACATAAATGATATAAAGATGATATAGTAAAAAGTTATCCATATAAAAGATGTTTTCTACGATTAAGAATTAAAAAGCAGACTTTGGCAAGTATAAAACACCCACTGGAGTCACTGAAAATTAAACAAAGTTTGTCGATATCAGGTATATCTAAAACATTATAAGATTTAGCAATACATTCATTAAAAAGAGTTGCCCTGATATCATCATATAATACGCAGTGAAACAAAACATGGACCTCGTCTTCTACGCTGTCATTACAGTGAAAACATGTTCTGTTGTTGACAGGTACACCTTCGTATCGACCGGTTTCCACACGAATAGGAGCCACGCCACATCTAAACTTGGCTAGTGCCGATCTATAGTTTCTGGGCATCTTATTTGAAACATAGTATTCTGTCCCAAATACATTGTACTTGTTTGTAACATCGATACATTCTCAATTTATTAAGCCCATTTCGCCCCTCTTCCTTTCTTAACATATCACTCCAACGGGTAACATATTCATTTTTACACCATTGTTCCACCTGTGTACAAACATAAAATTTATCAATAAAACCTGTAGCGTTTAATAGATGTCCTAAATCCATATTAGTAAACTTCTTTCTTACCCTACCATTCCAATTTTTACAACCATTTACAGCGTATCTATCAGCCCAGTGAAACACGTGTTTGTTTAACTTACTAGACATATTCTTAAGGCGACACCATTGTCGTGCTACACTTTTCCACTGTCTGACAACAGGCGGTATCCATCCCATGTCCCCATTGATAGCGACGTTAGGGGCGTATTTGCCGAGTCCCAAATAAAATCTAATGGCTCTATAGTGTACAGCATTTATTGCTGACACATCATAATTACACCAGATAGCCGCCCCGTAGTCAAGAACAGACCACACCACACTATCGTACAATTTGGAATAGGTTTGGAAATGCATACCGCCTATTGTCTTAAATTTGGATATCAACAGGCCCAAGGCCCTATTAGCATAGCAGACTTCGCTGCTGCACGTGCCATTGCAGTAAAATCTAAGTGGTCTGTTAACAGTAGACCACGATAATAATACTTAGCAGCAATGTCATTTAAATCATATTTCCAACATTAAAAACATGTTTCGTCTGTATGACAGACGGATTTCTAAAATGGACAATTTTAGACTTTTCCTTATTGATCTCTATCTTATTTGTGCAACACCAAGTATGTAAAACATTTACAGTAGACTGAGATCAGCTTCATTTTCACTGCATTTAACGCCCTTGTATAATGATTGCAAGGCAGGTAACATTTTGCCTCCAATACCATGGTGAGAAAGTTTATCCCATAAAATGTTTCTATTAACACAGTCGTAAGCTTTCTTAAAACCTATGAATGCAACAAATGTAGATTTCTTTTTAACTTTTCTGTTTTCTATAATTGCTGTTAGCGTTTGGACGTGATCGATAGTAGATCTTTTTTGTCTGAATCCGTTCTGTGAATCGTGGAGTACGTCGTTAGCTTCTGTCCACAGTTGTAGTCTTCTGTTAAGGATACTACAATACAGTTTATAAATGGACGTAGTGATACCCCTGTATGAGAGGGGGTCCCTAGGGTCCAGGGTTGAGCACTTTGGAATGGGACTAATTATGCCTTTCGACCATATTTGAGGAATCTTTCCTGTATTAAAACAATTATTAAAAATATAGTGGAGCGTTTTAGCGATAGCATCAGACTTCAGCACCTCGTCGGGGATTTCGTCAATACCTGTTGCTTTTCCTGCATGAGCCTTATGGATAGCAGTCTTTACTTCAAATAGACTTATGCTGTCGTTGAAAAGAACATGGTCATTAGCGCTCTCACCGTCTCTCCTAGAAGCTAACTTCGTGTCACTGTCTCCATTTAGCAAACCGCTAAAGACATTTTTCCACCTTTCCAACATTATGTCCTTGCCCACACCCACATTCCCATCCTCCATAACTACTGCCATTGGTATTGTCTTGTGCCTCTCCGACCCTACACCTACACGTCCTATCTGTCTCCAGAACTCACTATCACGAGCCGTACATAATTCATCTAGACTGTTCACGGTCTCCTTTACATATGCACGTTTAGCCTGTTGTACACTTTTATCAAACTTCTTACGTAAAGTCACAAAGCAGTGTTTCAGAAACTGTTTATCTGACTTAGTCCTGCATTTACACCATTTCTTTTCGGCTTCACACATCTCGTTCCAAAAAGTCGTCAGTGAATCCGTCGTTTATTCGTTTACTCCATGCATGTCTATAGGCATAACACTAGGCTCAGTATTCGTGATAGGACGCCTTTCACGGAACGCTGAATATGTGCTGCAGAGAGGATCAGTTACTGAACATCAGCAGGTTGTTCAAGCAAGAGATCTCACGAAGCCCGGAGGACGCCACTTATTGCCTTGCCAGTAGTATCTGGTGAACATGTTGTGACAGCACAGTACAACGTAACGATCGATATATGTTTGCAGCAGTGTGGACACTGTACATTATCCGCTCTATTGTCTCCTCAGTGGCCTATCGTGTTTCGTGGAACATATTGTGTGTTTGTTGTATAACGACGCACTCAACACAAATTCTGTCAGTAATTAATCAATTCATCGACTTAATCATCGCATTAATCACTGCTCGATCTTCGCACTGAACACTGCATTAAATGCAGAGGAATTCAGAGGACTACACAGTCACAGATATATTGGATTATTAACGCAGGAAAAGGTGAGTCGTGCTTTGTCAGCTTGATCGATAGGATTCCACGATAACAAATTCTCGTTATATCTGGACCACACAACTGAGGTATGATGACACGTTATTAACAAAGTAACCTGGATGACCATCCGGTCAACTGGCAATATGTTAACATTGGTGGTATCTGTATAAACAGTACTATTTAACATCCGGGAGCAGTAAGTCAATAAAACATGTCTTTCTCAGTTTTGATTGATCGTGAAAATATCCACTTGCGTACAAATAAACAGAACACACGTCAAAACAAAAACAGGCAAAAATAAGTACGGTAAGAAAGGTAAAAAATATTTGTTTACCTAGCACGTTTTATACTTGTTGTTAAACCCATCATCTATGCCCCTGTATAAACAGTACTATTTAACATCCGGGAGCAGTAAGTCAATAAAAGAGAGAGAGAGAGAGAATATTGTTTATTAAAGTGTCACATGTTATATACACTTCGTAATACGATATATACAAAACAGTAAAATATAACATCCGGCCAAATATGACCTACGAGACACTATAAAACATATCAATCATAAAACTATTCAGTTGAAACAGAATAAAAAATACATACCTCGTGATGCAGGCGCGGAGCACGGCCGTGGGCGGTTTCAGTGAAGAGCGCACCAGTATGCCAGGATACAGGGCAACTGACTTCGAAAGTCCTTAGTTAAACAGTGCGCTCCCCCTTAACTCCCCCCACCGCGTTGCGCCGCCCACACACCACGTCATACATACATACATACATACATACATACATACATACATACATACATACATACATACATACATACATACATACATACATACATACATACATACAAGTCATACATACATACTTGGCTTAAAATGAAATTGCCTTCTTTTAACCATGTAAATTGATTTGGCTAAAATACATTGGAGCGATTCTTCGTTCATAATAAAAATAAACTTTTCTAAACTACTCATATAATGAAATGTTTTATCTACAGAAGTTGCTTCTTTAGCTAAGTTGTATCTTAAATCATCATAAAATGGACATTCTATTAAAAAGTGACATTCATCTTCAACATAATTTACATGATCATTAGTAGGATTGGCGTGACAATATTTACAAGTCCTATCCAACAGTGGGGTAGGTGGCTTGGCGTAGCGGCCGGTCTCAACATGTAAAGGTAAAATACCACATCGAAAGGATGCTAAAAGTCTTCGATGATCTCTAAAACGTACATGACATAAATAAGGCTCAGCAGTAGGTGATGAATAAAACATGTCTTTCTCAGTTTTCATTGATCGTGAAAATATCCACTTGCGTACAAATAAACAGAACACACGTCAAAACAAAAACAGGCAAAAATAAGTACGGGAAGAAAGGTAAAAAATATTTGTTTACCTAGCACGTTTTATACTTGTTGTTAAACCCATCATCTATGCCCCTCCCTACGCCTACCCCCCCCCCCCCCCCCACCCCCCCCCCCCCCACCCCCCACAGTTTCAGCTTTCGCCTCCTCTTTTGTTGAATGAGGTTTCACAATTGTAACAAGATCTCTCCTGTCTGTACCATCAACTTAACTGCCCCCACCCCCTGCAGTTTTCCGTCACAAGGAGGAATACGGCTGCCGTTAAGCAAGGGGAAGGGTTGCCAAACATGTTGTAACAACTTGGCAAACTTTGATATGTAAACAGCAAATATGATACAGTTTAATTTCATCTTAATATATTAGTTGAATCCCACTTGAACTGTGAAGATCCGGGTTAGAATAGGTCTTCAGCAACTGATGCGACTATGCTTGTCGAAAGAAGCGACTAAGGGGATCGGGTAGTCAGGCTCGCTGACATGGTTGATGCATGTCATCGTATCCCAATTGCGTGAATCGATGCTCGTGATATCAATCACTGGATTGTCTGGTCCAGACACTATTATTTACAGACCACCGTCATATTGCTGGAATATTGCTGCGTGCTGCGTGAGAGTAGCCTTGCAAATATCACTGTAGACTCACATTCCATAATGAAGTATTGACTGATAGACGTTTGACCGAATGATATCATTTGCTAATATAACTTCAACTTTTGATCTAATTTCCATTAATGTATGTTACATAGTTAATATGTTCATGGGCGTCTTCACTGAATACATAGTGTGAAGGACTGCTACGGTTGAGGATTAGTAACATAAATAATGATGATATTAGGATGAAATTATTGCCATTATTATTCCTTCAGATTATTCCCAAAAAGGTTATAATGTTTTCATATTGAACATAGAGAAAGCGGAATGGAGATTGTGGAGATTATTTCCTAGCATCGGCATTGTTAAGATATTATGTTCTGTTTGTTTGTTGTTTAATGCTGAACTCAGCAACATAAGGATATTACGGTTTACATATATTTAGGTTCTGTAATATTACATTTGTATTATTTTTCAAATTTTACAGAGACCAGATAAAGTGATAGAAAAATGTTAAATCGATATTTTTAAAAGTAAGCATATGATAGATTTGTCAACCAGAAATATTGCACACTAAAGGATAATCATTATATCATGACGCTATTCTACGTCGAGGTCAACGATATTGTCTATGATATTGCTACACGACTGGTTATTACACGGATACGTCATGATAAAGCGATTAGAAATTGCCATTTGAATATATAAAATAGCTACGCGATAAATCGCAAAGAACAAAGATGAAGAAAGCGTTATTTATTTCACGATAAAACATTGTTCTATCATGACGTCATTTCTGGAGATTCGAACATTCAGGTTCTATTCAGGGAGTCATCATTATTTAAGAACAGGTAAATAATATTAAAGCGTGTACCTTTAACTAATTGAACACCCTTAAAGAGGTTGTACGTTATGTTGATGTCTCATTTAATAAATAAACTAGTCGTGGTCGCTGTTTATCGTGCAACAAACAACTCTCCCACTCGCCATCTGTTTCTTAATTACATGAACATATACACTGACATTATCTCTTTTTATCAGTTAACAAAAGTGACATAAGCCTTTACATTATCATAAGAAACCCTTGACAAAAGTAGAGCCAACTGCACGATTCCGACAACACCAGGAGCATGTGTCATGATTCACCAACAAACAATGATGACACTGGGCGCTCGCAAAGAGACGTGCTCATCCCGATCCACTGGTGGCACCCGCCACAAACACATGCAAAGGCAAGCCAATGGTTCACACGAAAAGGCACGGGAACATGCGGTACATGTCAAAATAGAGCATTGCACCAGACATCATTTTGGTCATTGCTACGTCAAACCTGGAAATGCCGTCTACATGTCCAACGCAAAGCCCAAGCCAGTACCCAAATCCTTTAAGGCCGACCAAACAACCCCCTGAGCACGACGCTTGCCGAAATCCAAAGTTCTGGATAACATACATTTTCCCCTAACCTAAAGTAATCTGTACTAGTTCTGAAGTACATCGTATTTGCCCGTATGAATCGTCTTATGTCATTTATTGCTGATAAACAGAGTATGCACGTACCAAACCTATACTCTCGATATACATGTTGCTCTTACTTTAAAATTATTGGGTTAACAAGATATGTGTATTAAAGTGCCATGCTTTCCTGCTGTGCTATCATTCTAATTTGAAATAATGATATAAATAGTTACAACTCATCTTTTAATATTTTTTCAAGGTTGGGTTAATCAGAAATGTATTCAACAACTATACTTACTCATCTTTAATTTGATGACTTGATCATTTCTAAATAAAAGGCCCTGCTAATTTTTTTGAACTATTAACAAAGCTGACCCATCCCATGCATGTTTGAAAGGACATTTTTATAATTCAGCACACTTTGATCAGGACATTGTGTGAAAGATGGCTATCATTAGAAAATGTTATATGAAGAATGTGTTTCAACGAACTTTACTCAGTCATTCAACTTAAAGGCATCAGGTTTGTCTGGCATGCAGACCCAGAAACAAGAAGATCAGAGATTAGATGTTATTCTAGCATCAGATCTGTGGTACGTTCACTGCATCAGTGTTGATATTAAAATGATATTTACATATTTAAATACATACAGAGGAAATGCTTAGCATTCATCTTTAAGGGAGAGTGTAAGACTTGCTTAATACATATGTATGTGGACATATATGTATGGACATTTGGATAAATATAGATATACCTCCTTATAGATAGTGACCGTAGAAGATTGTAGAACGTGCATAAAGAAAATGGAATAATTATGAGAGCAATCGAGTCAAAACCACGTTTAGCAATATTCAGCCATATTGCGATATTGGTTTCCAACATACAAAACATAGCATGAAATCATGACTTGAATTTGGACCTGGCTTTCTAGTGTGATGTAACACCCCATAATCTCCTGTAGGAAAAGAGCTAAAAGCACAAATGAAGATCAGAAGATGAAACTGATGTATACATCTGGACATATATTTGTGTAGTATTACTACATTAATTCATCAGTATATGTGTATTTTGCGCAAAAGGATAGTGTAGCATCGACGCTGACATGCTCATATAACTATTCACCAGTGCTGTAAAACAAATAGGAGAAACTGTTGAAATTGATATTTTTAGCAAGCCGCTAGATTAACATAGACACTTTGAATTTATATTTTAAAAAAAGAGTTGTCTTTTGATTTATATCGATAGGAACATTGATATTCTGTCTGAAGAAATATAGATTGACTAAAACTAGAACTATATTTAAATTTGAAAGGAGTCCCACTGGGATGGAAATTTCAGCCTGAACCTGATGAACCTGTTTCATTTGGGGGTATAGCATTACAGTAAGGTCTTGGCGGAAGGGAAAATATTATGGTTCAGGGAATGTGAGACAAACTACTTCACGGTCTGAATCGCCGTCGTCATCTTAAGAGCTAAGAAATGTGAGCCATTTGAGACAGCGACTCGACGCCTGTTTGCACCCATCAGACACCAGCCGGTACTGTCACTACTTCTCTCTCCAAACGAAAAAAATACAATGTCGGAAGTGTATATTTTTAAT